TTCTACCACGCCCGGCTGATTTTTTGATTTATTGTAGAAATGAGGTCTCGCCAAGTTGCCCAGGCGGGTCACGAACCCACGGGCTCAGGCAATCCACTCACTTCAGCCTCCCAAAGGCGCGAGATTACAGGCTGAGCCACCGAGCCCGGCTACCCCCTGCTCTTTGATGCAAAATGTATTAACTACATAATACTTTGTAGTTGGCAGGGTAGATGTTTATGAGACCAATCTTCCTGTCTCTGAAGTTGTCGTCCCTAATTAGCATCTCTCAAAATACTTTTTGTACCCAATACCACTGCTATAAATTCTCCTTGTATCCACATCCACAAATTGCCATCTTTCATCATCCCTATACTCTGCTTAGCAGCCATTACATCTCAAGAGGCTCTCACCCTTGTGGTCCTCCAGACTGGGACGTTTTGTGGTGAATATCATTCCATGTGATGACATCTGAGACGTTTAATGTCCGAGAGGACCCCACTGTGAAAATCAGCTTTTGGTCAAAGGCCCTAAGAAGCAGTTTCAAAACCTTCCTTCCTTCCTCATTATCAGGCAAATATGCAGTTCGCTGTGTCCCGGGATATTTCTTTCCTGGGCTTGGGTGCTCGTTCTGTATAATAACAAGAAAATGTCATGTTAAAACAGACCCATCTAAATTTTACCATTTTAATAGATGTGTTCATTTGTAGATAGAGCATATCAAAATCAAGAAAAGTATTGAAGTTTTTCTCATATTCCCAGTAATTCATGTTTCTCTTCTTTCCTCAAATTCATAGTTGGAACACTATCCACCTTACTGACTCACCCCATCCAAAGACATAATCTCCACCTACCCCATCTCTGCCTTAAGAAATAGACACAAGGCCAGGCTCGGTGTCTCAGCCTGTAATCCCAGCACTTTGGGAGGCCAAGGTGAGTGGATTGCCTGAGCCTGAGGGTTCAAGACCAGCCCGGGCAACTTGGCGAGACCTGGCCTCTACAATAAAGCAAAAATTAGCCGGATGTGATAGCACACGCCTGTAGTTCCAGCTACTAGGAAGGCTGAGGAGGAAGGCTTGCCAGAGCCCAGCAGGTCGTCACTTGGGTGGCTGTGAGTGTGCCACTGCACTCCAGCCTGGGCCATGGAGTGAAACTCCAACACACACACACACAAAAGAAATAGACACAAAAAGTACCCAGGTTATAAGGAAACACTGACCTTTACCACTATTCCAATCCCTTGCATACAACCAAGGACATGATTCCCTGGGAAGCTGACTCTCTGATAGGCAACAGGACAGTCTCTTTTGCTCTGGTAATACTAGCATAGTGGAAAGAAACCCAGGGGCCTTGGAAACACTTACTGTTTGTATGCCACCTTTCATATTATAAGTAATCACAATGGTGCCACAGGATTCATAACCTGGAAGGGAGCGTCTCGACTCACTGAAAACCATGCTTCCATCTGGCTGATTTCCTCTCTGGACCCCGTAGAAAGTCTGACACACAGGACAGATTGGCTTATATGACATGGCTTTGTCAATACAAGGGGTGCAGAATTCGTGCTTGCACTTTGCTAACACTTTTTTATTACTAATGGTGTCCATACAGATAACACAGATGTGCTTTCCCTTTTTGTCAACTTCTGATGCCTCAGAACTCAAAGAGCCATTGAATGGAAGTGAAGCTGCTTTTAAAAAATAACTGTCAATGTCCATGAGTGTTTCCTGATCCTCATTTGATTTCTCTCCAGCCAATGGAGACATTTCTCTTCCTCTTAAGACATATTGCTTTGCCTTTGCAAGGTGATTTGGTAAACCAGTCAAAATCATTGATTCTTGATTTAGCACAAAGTGTATATTTGGATGACTTTTTCTAAAGTCATCAGCAAACTTGGTCTGGCGTACGTGCTTTCTCTCCTTGCCCAAAGAGTTCAGTGAAATAACTTCTCTCGTTAACAAAAATGAAGCGTGTTGAAAAGCATCGATGAAATTTGCATAAGCCTGCACAGATAGATCTGCCTGCTTGTCCTCAGGTTCAAATAGAATGCAGGTTTTCTGATTTTTCCCTGAAATCTTGCAGCAAGTATTGTACTTTTTCTCTATCTTTGAAATCTCCAGGAATAAGTCAGCTTCTAAAAGCTTATAGCGAGCAGTATCAACCTCAATTCCATTCACCATGCCACAGGGAGTCAATATTTTCACACGTGCCTTGATAAGAGCTTCAGAGATTTTTTGTTTGGCAGCTGAAATGTCATCTTGGGTTCCAAGGAGAATTAATTCTCTTCCTTTCTCCTTTATAAGGAGCTTGGTAAGTTGTTGGTTCAAGTCCTGTTTGATTTTATTTGCCTGCTTACTATCTGCTAAAGAGACACGCTCTTGCTTCAGAGGTTCTGTGTTCCTCTGAAATTCACTGACAAAAGACTCACGAGCTGCTTCTAGGTTGCCTGACTGATGAGAGGTGAAGTCTACATAGACCGTATTTGTTGAACTAGTCTGGACTTCAACGTTTACACCAAATCTTTTCTCTATTGAGTTTATTTTATCAGGACAAGTATGTTTGAAGTATTCAAAGAAAGGCAAGGGAACCTCAAAATAGTTGCTTTTTTCTTCTGGCTTGGTTTTTGGTTCAGATGGAAAAATGAAGCTGCTCCCGTCCTGCCGATTGAGTGGCTTCCTCTCTGTTGCTGAAGGTGAAGACTCATGTTTTTGTTCACTTTCTAGGAACTGCTCACTCAAGTAGTGATATATTTTTTCAATGTCTTTGAAGTCACCACACACCTTCTCAATTCCATCATGACCCTCCATTTTTTTTACATTGGGGCAGAGAGTGGTCACATATGCCCTCTGCTCTCTGGAGAACAGGTTACAGTTTAGGTCAGCCGTTACAGCAAGGAAGATCTGAAATTTTAAAAGGAACAGGAACAAATAAAATCTCTCAGCATGCAGGCCTATGGTCTTCTGTTCAGGAGAATGCCTAGAGACTAGAGAAATAACTACTCTGTCCTCCCTAAGCAGGGGGCAACTTCCTTCAAATCCTTTAGTGAGGATACAGCATGCTACGGCCCAGAGGTTCTCAGTCCTGTCTGCATATTAGAATCATTTGGGGAGTTAAGGGCGGGGGGGGGGAATAAAGCAGCCAAGGCCCAGGTACATCCCCAGAGATTCTAATGGAATTGATCTGCAGTGAGCCTGGGCATGAGCATTTTAAAAAAGCTCCGTGGCCAACAGATCCGTGTTCTAGAGCCACCACTATCTGTTTGACCTTGGGAACAGAAATAGAGGAAAGACACTTCTGTACTCTGGGTAAGTTGCTGGGGTTCTCACAGAAGTTTGTAAACCTGGAAAGGAACTAAAGGAACTACAAATCTGAGAAAAATGTTTTTTCCTATTACTGTTTTTTCTCTTCTTCATCTTCTTTTTATTTTTAGTTTCCAGCCCGTTTTATTTATTTTAAATTTTATTTACTTTAAAGATGTGGGGTACAAGTCAGGATTAGGTACGTAAGTGGTCTACGTACAGGTGAAGTTTGGGCCTTCCATTGATCCCCACTTTGCCTGGATCAGGTACCCGTGGTGGTTTCTTTTTTTTTTTTCCAACTAAACATCTGACTATATGCAAAGTTATTGGGCCCTTCTAAATCCTGGGCTTTAGAAGCTCAAATATAAGACATGCCAGATTAAGATTAAAAGGGCACAGGTAAATTGAATGCAATATAAAAACAAAATTTCCAGTGTTTTATCCCCCCTCGAGTTCTTTGTACATGCTGTTTTCTCTGGGTGTAACATCCTTTCTGTAGATTTTCAAAATGTTTCCTGAATCCAGCCACTTCTCACACCTCCATAGGGGCCACCAAAAACCCAAGCTGCTATCACCTTTCAGCTGGTGCACTGTAAGCCCTCCTAACTAGGCCCTGACCTTTCAGTCTAGCCTTTTCCTACATTCAGTTTTCCACAGAGCAGCCAGAGTGACACTCTAGAAATATAAGTTGGATCGCCTTCTCCCTTGGCTTAAAACTACCTGATGAATCCCCTAACATTCGAGTTAAAAATCCAAAATCCAGCAGGGTGTGTTGGGTCACACCTATAATCCCAGCACATTGAGAGGCCAAGGCAGGAGGATTGCTTGAGCCCAGGAGTTTGAGACCAGCCTAGGCAACACAGCAAGACTTCATCTCTACAAAAAAGTCAAAAAATTAACTGAATATGGTGGCACATGCCTATAGTTCCAGTTATTTGGGGGCCAAAGCGGAAGGACTGCTTGAGCCCAGGAGGTTGGGGCTGTGGTGAGACGAGATCACACCACTGCACTCCAGCCTTGGCAACCCCCAAGGCATGACGCCCAGGTATATCTCTGAGTTCCTATCATTCTCTCCCTTGCTCATGCCTTTCCCCAACACTGGTTTCCTTGAAGCTTCTGGGGCTCAGGGTGTAAGCTCCTGTCTTAGGGCCTTTGTACTTGTGCTTCCCTCTCCCTAGAATGTTCTTTCTCCAGAAAGCTACATGACTGGTTCCCTTACTTCAAGTCTCTGCTCAGATGTCACCTCATGTGAGAAGGTTTTTCCAGACATTTTATTTTAAATCGTAGTTCTATCACTTATTCTGCTTTATTCTTCTTCATAGCAGTTACGACTGGCAAACATTTTATTATATATCTGTTTGGTCACTGTTGTTGCCGGTTTCCCTCACTAGAAGGTGTGGTCGGTCCCTGAGGGCAGAGTCTGTTGTGTTCCATCATAGAAACTATCCAGCTCATGTAACAGTGCCTGGTACACACACATTAGGCAGTAGATATCAGTTTGTTAAATGAATCTGTGTATGCCTGGCTCCTTCTCTTCATTCAAGCCTCAGGCTAAATGTCACCTCTTGAGAGAAGTTGTCTCTGACTTTTGGTCAGAAGCAGCACCATCCATATCTTCCCTTTCCATATCCTGGTCCTGTTACTCTCTAAAATGGTTTTATTTATTTTGTTTACTTACCTACTTAGTGTTACTGGACACCTTCCCACTCCCAATACAAGCTGTGTGAGAGCAGAGACCTTGTCAGTTGTGTTTACCTCTCTGTCCCAGTGACTACAACAGTACCTGGCTCATAGTACATCCCTAGCACATGAATGCTGGACCAATAACACATGAGACTTGGTGACCAGAAAGGAAGTTGTAGGAACACAGTCAGCTCCTTTTTTGTTTTTTTGTTTGCTTGTTTTAAAGACAGGGTCTTGCTCTGTTTCCCAGGCTGGAGGGCGATGTAACAATCATAGTTCACTGCAGCCTCAAACTCCTGGGCTCATGTGACCTTCCTGCCTCAGCCTTCTGAGTAGCTGGGACTACAGGCACAGGCCACCACACCTGGCTAATGTTTAAATTTTTGTAGAGAGGGTTTTTTTTTTGAGTTGGAGTCTCACTCTGTCACCCAGGATGGTGTGCAGTGGCATGCTCCCGGTCACCGCAACCCCAACCTGCGGGCTCAGGTGATCTTTCCACCTCAGCCTTCCAAGGAGTTGGAACTACAAGCACACGCCACCACACCCAGTTAATTTTTCTTGATTTATGGTAGAGGTGAGGTCTCGCCAACTTGTCCTGGTGTGTCTCGAACCCCCGGGCTCGCCTCCACCTCCCAAAGTGCTGGGACTACTGGTGTGAGCCACCACACCTGGTGAGAAGGGGTCTTGCTATGTTGCCCAGGCTGGTCTGGAACTCCTGTCTTCAAGTGATCCTCCTGCGTTGGACTCCCAAAGTGCTAGATTATAGGCATACGGGCATGAGCCATCGCATCCAACCCAGGTCTTTCTTTTAATACTCACCTTTTGGAAACATGAATCCACAGAGTCAGGAACATGTCCCTCACTCAGACGCCTCTCAGCAAACTGTGCCACTGCTTGTGACTGTACCGGTGAAGAAATTCTGGGTCTTGTGTCCTTCTCTATTGGATTTTCAGTGAGTTCCAGGAAAATGGTCACAAAATTGCCATCGATAAGCATCTGGTGTTCTCTTTTTTTTAACACTCTCTCCTTAGCTTCAGTGAAGACATTAAATACACACATACACACACAGACAAGGGAGAGATTTCAAATAATCCTCTTATTCCGGCATCTACATCCTACTCCAGTACCCTCCTAGTAAGGCTGCTCCCTGCGTCCTGGAATGGTGGGTTGCTGATGGAGAAAGTGGGGAGCTATTCAGAACTCGATAGTGAGCAGTTTAAGTTTTATTGTAGAAATGAAGGCTTAGTGACAATGGAACATCATCTGCTCATTAAAAGCTACGTTTCTGAAACTGTTTCCAGAATCCCACTGCAATACTCATTAGACAATTAAGTGGGGAAAAAAAGCAAGAATCAAAAGTGCACACTCAGGGTTTTGTGAGTACCTATGTGTTTGCCGACATTCACAGAAAAAGGCTGGAAGGAAATATACCAAAACGTTCACATTGTTTATCTCCAGGTAGTTTTCTTCTTTGATTTTTCTTCTTTCTCTCTTTTCTATAGTGAGCATTTATCACTTTTGTGATCTTCAAAAATACATGAATGGAACCATTATTTAAAATATAAAAGTGGAAGGCCTAAACGACAAGGACAGCGGCTGACAGGCAGCTGGGGGAAAGGAAGATGACAGCTGAGAAATATCAGTAAGTCAGGATACGGAAAGCACCCAACACATCAAGGTGCCCCGGGACTGAACACATCTGCAGCCCCATCCCCTCCCCTGTCTGAGTCAAAGTCTCTTGGCGGGCGGGCGGGGGGGGGGGGGGGGGGAAGGTGATGATTCCCGTCCCCACCCGAAGGCGCCACTTTCTCCCGCCCTCTCCTCGATCAGCTCGAACGAAGTCTGCAAGGAAGGAAACCCGCGGGGCCGAGTCCGCAGGGGCGGCCTTCGCGCCCCAGCCCCGGCCGCACCCCTGCAGCCCGCAGCTCACCTGCCCTTTCTCTGAAATCCACCCGGAAGGTGTTCGGGGCGCCCGGGCCCACCGGCCTGACCGTGCACTCGCCCCCGTTCGAGCTCCGGCTCTGGAAGTAGCTCTCCAGCTTCCTGTGCAGACCGGGCGCGGACGCGGGCACCCGCACGAGGAGCGGGGACGCCGGGGACGCGGGGCTGGGGCTGGCCGCCATGGCGCTCCGCGTCGGGCTCCGGGCCGCGCGGGGCCGCGACTGGGGCAGAGGCGCGTCCCGCCCCGCCGACTTGGGCCTCCGAGTTTCAGTTTCACTTCCCCGGAGGTCCCTCCCTGTTCCTGGCAAAACGGCTCCCCCGCCCCCGGCTCGCTGG